TCCCGCCGGTGGAGGGTAGCCAGAAGCTCTCCCACACACTCACCAGGCCTGGGCTAGGACTGGGTCTGTCCAAATACTTATTAATATCCCATTTCCCCAAATGGAATACTAATGCTGATTGTATATCTTAAAAAGAGCAACTTTTAAAAATGAGAGTGGAACCTCACATACTGCCAAGACAGTGTTTCCACAAGAAGCAAAGTAACATGACTATCTGGAAAGAATTAGATATGTGTGCTAGACTTCAACTAAAACATCTCAAAGGAAATCACATCTGGGATCAGATAGTGAAGCTCTATCTTGCTCCTAGGAAAGCAACTCACTTGTTGATTTTGCAGATTTGTTAAGTGATTTGTTTCAAAACAATTTGGTAATCCATGTGCTAAGCAAACCTTGGGCTCATTTTAAGTTTCCATGATAGCCAGTGTGTGGTATTTTAAGTGCTTGGCCTAAGTTCCATTAAATTTATGGAGAAACTATAAATTTTTAAACGTTTGTTTCATTTGTTTCTTCTGAGGACAGCTGATAACATTTTAAAATTCTAAAGGGGATCCAGTTGGCTCAAATATAATCACAATTTGGATTTAAATATTCATAAATGTGCAAATCTACACTAAGTGACCTGTTAGTTGGATCCAGGCAGCCGCTGGCACTGTGCTGCGGCCCGATGTAGACCCTTGTGGAGTCGCTGTGCGGATCTGGAAAGCACAAGGCGGCGTAAACACTGGTGATGACCAGCGTGCCAGGTCCTGCCTGCGCTGTCCCCCGACCAGCAGCGCGGGACACGAACCGCAAACGTTCACCACACGGAAAAATCACTGGCCGGTTGTGTTCACATCAAGGATCTGTTTCCACTGACGAGAAACAGAATCCAATAAGGCCAACCATCCGAATTGCTGAACGAAAAGGTTAAAAGTTCATATATATCTATACGTACTGAATTTAAGTTCAAAGTTTAAATTAAAAGCAAAAGTATTTACGTAGTATCTTGTATTGACAATAGCCACACATGAAATATTTCATATTGTATCTAATATTGATATTTGTCATTTTACTGAAAACTTTTGATATACATGTTAGATTTTTAATAACACTAGTTGTAAATCACAAATGTAGTTCATCTTATTTTTGAGCACTTGTTATATAGTAGCAAGTAATACTGAATATCTACTTTAAGTTTACCTGTGCTACTGGGAATGCATAGACGAATAAAACACTCCTTGTTCTTAAATCGACCATAATGTAGTGAGAGAAAATATGCAGGTAAATAGGCAATTTGTATATTGTAGAACACAGATAAATATGAGGCAGCATCAGGTTCCAAAGGACAGTAGTCACCTTTGTTGGGACGGTACCAAGACAGACCCACCTTATTCCGTAGTCTTCTCTGTTTCTGCGCATTAAGCAGATTCGAGTCCACTCGTGACACAGAGATGCATTGGAGACCTTGGAGATGAAGAGCGCCTTGGTGGGCGGTGTCTCGAGTTCACTTGGCATTTTCAGTGCACTTTGTAAGTCTAAACAGAAAATAGGGAGAAAAAAATGTGAATATCTATTTAAAATATCTTTCATGTTAGTCAACAGAATTAGAAAAAAGCTAGGCACACCTAAGGCTTACAGCAGATCTGGCCAATAGTTGTACAGCAAATTTGATCAGTGCAGACAGAAAAGGACAATCAGGCCCCAACAGCCAACCTTTTCTGTTCCTCTCTACTTCTCATTTAAGGTTATCATTTTTCTAAAACATTGTTTTGGTACTATTGAGATCAAAATGTGTTTGGCTAGTTTGCATAAATAAGATTTGGTAAATAACCTGATTTTCTGGGAGTTGGTCCAAGTAAAACCTCTACTCTTTTGAAGTTCATCCCTTTGCAATTTTTAGGGGGAATTTAGCTTTTTTGAAGTCCCCCTGAAGTATTTAGTGGCTTGCTCTGCTAATCCAAGTGAGATTTCAGAGCTACATTTAACAGAGAACAGATGGCTCCTTTCTAATGTCCTTTGTGGTCATTATAATACATTCAAAAATAGCTAATCACATCACATTAGAGGATTGAATGCATTTGAAGATATTGAACAAAGTCACTGTAGATCATCAGTGTGTCTAGATTTGTGTGCCTGATAGAAAACCTGCAATAACCAAGGCATTTGTTCAATTTCTTATAAAGAAAATATGTAAGAATTTGTAAGTACTTTACATTATAAAGTTTATAGGTTACTATGTTTTATATATTTTAGTTCAGAAGGAGGATTTAAAGCCTAAACATCATTTCTAATAAAATAGTTTGCAAATCTTTTTTATTGAATTAGAGAATAATGCAGCCACTTTATGGAATCAGTTGAGGAAAGTCAAAAGGTATCACCACATGTACCTTTTATATTTATTTATATGAACACATCCAGAATTCAGGCTAATGTGTTTTCTCACCATCTCCATTTCCAAGCTTCTGTCCCTTATCTCAGTTGCATCAGGAGAAGAGGACCAGCATGGTCTCCCCTCCTGGACCGCCAGCTGGCTCAGTGCACTGCTCGTTCATGACAGATGCAAGACCTTTTCATGTCATGTGGTTAGGCTGCACTTCAGATGTGGAAAACATTGAGTTATTTAATTAAAATGGTTTTTACTGTTCAGTTGACTAGATAAAAATAGGATTCCAACCATTTCAGTACTCAAGTGGAGTTTAGAGGTTATAATGCAACATACGGACTTTAAACTGGGAAAGAAGACTGCAAAATTAAAGAGACTCACATCACAGATGCCTAGAAGAATGTCACTGAGATATGGGGAAGGAAGCTCCCAGCCTATAAGGTGTGTTATGAGCTCGGGCTCTCTAAAATTGAAGAATGAAGGGCCGGCGATATAGCTCAGCGGACTAAGTGCTTGCTTGCTTAGGTAAGTGCAGGGGCCGGGGTTTGAACCCGGCACTGCATGCAGCACCAGCCCCGCCCCCAGGCATGCTGAGCCAGCAATGGAGCCTAGGCGTGGTGGCGCACCCCTGTAATCCTAGCACTAGGCAGACACAAATCAGGAAGATCACTGCACATGATCCACATACTGAGACCCTGCACACACACACACACACACACACACACACACACACACACACACAAAAAAAAAAAACCTAAAATTGAAGAATGAATTTTATGAACATTGGAGATTAAGAGCAGAATATACTTATTTGGAGAAAGAAAGCTTCTATCTGAGAAAGAGACAGAACAGGTCCCGAGTGGTTTGCCAAGGACGCTCCTTTCCTAGGGACTTTATAAAAGTAAAACCACAAGGTGAGGTGGGTACAAGGTGGGGAAACTGGGAAATCATAAGGTGGGCACGAGGTGGGACAAAATTATGATCAACCAATAAGACTGCATGCATAATTGCTCAGGTAAAATTGATTAAGTGGGGCTCAAAGAAGGAAGCAAGTCCCTAGCCAGCAGGCATGAATGTAGAATAGCAAGTCTTGCCTGCAGGAGTTTGGGTTAGTGGCTCTTCCTCAAGGTGACAGAGGCCTGTGTAGACTATCAACCCCTGTTGTCTATCCCTAGGGAGGTCTGTGGGTGCATTTGCTTCATCTTTTGCCTTGAGGTCTGGCCCACACCAGGTGCCCGTCTCCCACAGTTGCAAAGCATGCCATCGTCTACTCTGGCTCCTTGGAGCACCCAGCTCTATCTAACTTGCTGGCTGTAACAGTAGAGAGGTGTAAGGTAAAGAAGAATGAGAAAAATTGTGAGAGCAAATAGCTGCTGAAAGGAAGTGCCTTTTCAAGTGCTGTGCTGCTGTAAGGGAACGCTGCAAACGAGGGCAGTACTGGAAGGAGGAGAACATTTGCGTCTTTCCGTACTGAGGCCTGGGAGGCCCACCCTCAGGCTGTCAGCGCTGCTCTGGTGAGGGCTGGCCCATCAGCGGGTCCCCTCAGGGTGGCATCCGCCTGGCAAAGGTGGAAGGCAGAAGGCGAATCCCCCTTTCTGGCACCCTCGTTAAGGGCAGCTAATCTCGTCCATGAAATGGAGCTCTGAGCCCACTCCCACTTCAGTGGCTCCACTCTTAATACAACCGTGATAAGAAGGATTAAGTCAGAATGTAAATTTCATAAGAAACACCATCATTCAAATCACAGAAAACACAACTTATGAGCCAAAGGTACTTAACTTACATTATGTTATTTAAGGCACAAGGCAACAGTATGAAAACAGTTGCAAGGCATCCCGTTGTCTCTGTGCTTTAACCTTTGATCTATTAGAAACTTACACAAACATTTAAGAAACTAGAATTAATCTGTATAATTTTCATTGAGGTGAAATTATAAAGTCAAAAATATTGGGGGTTTTGTTCCAGAACAAAGCATCTTATGTTCTTTCAAGATGTAGGAACCCACCTTTGTAAGTCAAATTTTGTAATTCCATTCGTTTCATGTACAATTTGACAATAGCTTGAAGCTGAGACCTAACCCTTAAAAGGCTTTCATTCTTTTGAACTGTGGTAACCTTTATCCTGTCTTCATCCTTCATTACTACTCATTTACTGAGTCAATTTTAGTTTTAATAAGAACAGAAAATGTTGATAACTTATCCCATCTAACACCATGCCTTCCAAAGCTTTCAGGAATAGCAGAGGATTTTAAGGTATTAACTGGTTGCTTATCATACTCTGATTTCTCTTCAGTTTGCATAAATCTTTTGCCTTTTACTAACATATATGCATTTGAAATGAATTATAAACCAAAACAAAAATAAGCCATTAATATAGATACAATTCATGGGGAAAAGGCAACAGAAGACTTACACACTATTTCCCAGTCTTGTTTTGATTGGTGGACGCAACGGTGGTGATCGCCAATTGTTGCTCTGGTAAGTGACTGAAAACAGCGCTGCAGGGGCTGGGGAAATGGCTTAGTGGAATAAGCGCTTCTCTGGCAAGTGCAAGGAACTGAGTTCAATGCCCAGGTCCACCAAAAAAAAAGAAAAAGAAAAGAAAACTGCGCTGCATAATTGCTGCTGATCGGTTCATGGCTAGTACCATTAGCAGTGCATCCTACTCTCACTAGATAGCAATTAAAAATTGTATATTATTTATTCCATGGCCACAAACACATGCCAGATGCATGATATACCTGTCTACTGTTCAGACTAACTGGAAGAGGCATTCGGGATTTATTTTGAGCCTATCCCATGCCAGATACCGCTCTGCAAAGTGCTTCACTTAAACTATAACCTCAGAGGTGTTATTGTCCCTGTACGACTTGAGAAGCAGAGCTGGAATTTTAGCTCAGGTATGTCTGATCACAGAACTTGCTTTTTGTTATAGCTGCCTGTAGCAGCTCAAATTTCTTTTAGAACAGAGAGATGTAAAAAAAGAAAAAAAAATATTTAGTCTGTTGCCTTGTATTTTTAAGCCCAGTCACCTGTAAGGTATTTCAAATTTTAAAGGTACAAGTGTTTAAAAAAATAAAGACAAATTTTTCAAGCTTTATCTTCTCACACTTAAAACCCAAATAATGATAAGACAAAATTATTATGAGAATTAGGTGAGACAACAACTTCGAGCCTTCGACAGATGGCCTGGCGGCATGGTTTTCAGACAATAATTTAGCAGAAGCTGTACTCCTCCAGCGCCTTCTTCATGCTTTCCAACGTGTATCGTTGTCACAATCTCCATCATCCTTAACCCCTCATCCTAAACACCCTTTACTCCAAAGGTCCTTGTAGGGTGGCACAGCCATTAAACTGGATTTAACAGTCGTGTTCAATTTCTGCCTATTTTCCTCCACTTCAGTTTTCTGATTACCTTTAAAAGAGCCACCATTTTCATCCTTTACCCTTGTAACAGCGAGTTCTCTCCCTGTTTTCTGCTTCACAATGCCCTATCCTCCATTCATATATTCTTTTTATTCAAAACCCACGTTGGGAGGCCCCATGTACCCTGGCAGTGTCACGGAGCCTGTGCCCCAGCCCCCAGCCACACAGACCAATTGTGCCAAATGCTGCCCAAGGCAAGGGCACCAGGAGTTACGGGAGCGCAGAGGAGAGAGGCCTGGATCTGTGTGTGCAAGTCAGACACTTCCTGGAAAAGCGACAGACAGGGAGCCTGGGTGAGCGCTGACAAGGTCAGAAGGGGCAGAGAGGATGTGGCCCGAACTTGAGTTTGGGGATGCAGGTTGGTGTCACGTCTCAGTGTCTGTGGCTCAGAATGTGGGAGAGGTGTGTGGAGGAGAAGAACAATGTTGCAGAGATTGAATCCTGAGTCTTAGGCTCCAGGAGTCAGGGCTTGCTGGCTGAGGCACGAGGGCTGCAGGTGACTATAAGCTGAGAGTGCGTGTGCAGGCGATGGATCGCCCAGGGAGTGATCAGCGCATACCCTCAGAAACACCGGCCTCAGGAGGCAGGCTCCTGACGCGAGGTGTGCAGGTGGTCTGCAGGTGCTTAGAGAATGTGTAGTTCCACGACATCCTAGAACAAGTGGCCGCTGTATGGGTGTTTGTGGAATGTGAGAGGCAGAATCCAGAGCTTCGGGAAATCCTCCGAGGCACTGGGCTGCAAGGAACAGTCGGAAAGCGCTGCTGAGGGGAGGAAAGCCGAAAGCCGACTTACATACAGAACAGAAATTTTAGCTGTGTCACAGAGGCCTCCTAACTGTGAAGATTTTTCCTTTTAAGAACTCCTCGTTCTTTCCCCTGTGTCACGGAACTCTCCCCGCGCCACCCGGGCCCACTGATGTCTTGTTGCTGGCAGCTGTCCCTCCCAGATGCCGTTCTCAGCTCATGCAACTGGTCACTGTGGCAGCCTGAACTGAGTGTCTACCCCAGAGGCCAAGAATAGACACGGAGTCCCGGTGACTTGGAAGCTAGGTAACATCTGGAGGGTGAACGCCGTAGTGACTACAAAACTCATCGTCTCATCGCAAGCAAGCAAATTATACGCGTATGAGTAAGATTTCCCTGCTGAGCCAGGGAATACAAAGTGCCCTTCTAAACAGAAGGAAAAGCAGCTTGCTCTCATAATCATAAAGAACAACGAAAAATACTAAATCAAACACATTCTTCCATGTTTCCAAACTCCGCCTTTCAATGTATCAACACACTCCTCACCTCAAGAGCTAACCACCAGATGAATGAAGGTCCTCTCAAGGGACTGTTCTCTGTTTATTTCCCCTCCCTGCATTTTCCTGGAGTTGGAAATACATGTATTCTGCGTTTCTCAGTTAGGTGTTGACCTTGTGTGAGTGATTCCTTCACCTTTGGGGGCCATGCTCTCATCTGCAGGAGAAGCTCGGTACAGAGTCTGAGAGCAGCTCTTCAGTCCCCACTGTGCACAGACCTCGGGGTAAGCGTTTCTTATTCCCAATTTGCCAATTGCTTCCAAGAATCACCAGGCACTGTCTCTAAGGTATTTCTTCATCTTGAGAGACCAGTGTCTAGCACCATGTGGCCAACGTAGCTAAACAGAGCAAAGGCCAACGACCTCTCCTTGTGAAAGGCCAAGTAGTAAACGTCTCCGGCTTTGTGAGCCAAAAGGTCTGCGTGGTATTCAAGGCTGTTACCTAGTGTGACAGCAGCCACCAACCCTATGTAAATGGATGTGTATGGCTGTGTTCCAATTAAAGTTTTGTTTACCAAAGCAGGTGACAGACATGAGTGGCACATCATGTTGCCTGCTGCCCCTTGAAATAGAGGACTGTCCAGCCTGGTGACCCAAGGAGAGGACAGTTGGGTTCCCACCATCTTCTATTTATGAGCTGCTTTCTGGGTGATTTCCTGATAAACTGCTTTGGGGTCATCATTGTGGGTGTCACTGTTGTTTCTGCTGCTGTTGCATCAGACAAGAATTGTTTGACTATTTTATTTGTTTATCTTTATGTATTTGGTACAAGGTCTCACTGCGTAGCTCGGACTCATAGTGGTTCTCCTGTGTATACCTGGACTCGGTGGCTCAGGGCACCTGGGGGCAGAGCCAGCGTGGCATGTCATGCCTGGGATCGAACTCCAGTCCCCGCACTTGCCTAGGCAGGTGCTTAGTCCGCTGAGCTATCTTGCCAGTCCTCCGTTCTATTACTATCTCAGTGCTCATTCCCCAAATAAATACCTGGAAGTGAGTAGGCCTGTAAGCTTGGAGGGAAGCAGAATCTGGGCAACTTGTTTCTCAGGCAGAGAGAGAAATAAAGGGCTTTATCAGCAGACAGCTCTGAACGTGAGTACTGCACGTGAATACTGCCTAAGGGCCGAGATGAGAGGGGAAGCGTGGGGCCAAAAGATGGGGGAGAAGACGGGCTGGATGGCAGGCTCTTCGTGGCATCTGCTATGCAGACTTGCCCAGACGGGGGAGTATCTTGGGTTTGTTTTGCAAATTGCAGTTGCCAAACTCTGGAAGCCAAAAGAGCGAGCAGCCAGCCTACACCAGGCTGTTCTCGTGGATCTGAGGAACCTCCATGACTCTGTTCTTGGGGGGAAGAAAGCATTAAATACACCTTCTGCATAAGAGAAGTGAGGATCCATTTTGCAAAGAGGTGGCGAGTGCCTGTCGTATTTCTTAGATTTTTTTAATAATAAGAGAACAATACCTACCAAATCATAAATTTGACCCCTTTGTCACCGTATACTGTTTTCCTCACAAAACTGTTTTAACAGAAAAAACGAGTACGTTCAATGGTCTATATACTGTGATGCAGTTCCAGGAAGCCAGGGGTGCGCTAGCTGGCCGCCACAGGACTCGCTCCAACTGACCCTCTTCTAGCACTGGCTGAAACAAGTCCTGAAAGAGAGGAAATGCCAGCATTTTATTAGCGAATATGTTCTAAAAGGTAACTCACGTGTTGACCTCGAGTGACAGAGACACTCCCTCAAGGGAAGCCTCAGTAGCCAAGTCTCTCCTTGGTGCCAGGATTTGCAAGATTGTCTTCGTCATACTTTCTTTAAATGTTTATATTAGAAAGTTTAATTTTGCTGAGCTAGCTGGCAGGACTTAGGTAATGAGCTTTGTTCTAAATTTTTAAATTTCATTTCATTTTTCCAAAAGCTCTTCAAGTCTACCTTGACAGAAACCGTTACTAACAGGGAGACAGGGAAGCTGTCCTTTGAGAAAAGGTTGTGCAATTTAGAAGAGCTCAAGTATTCACTCAATTTTCTAACAGATTTATAGACATAGTTTGCAGCCTCTTTGGTTTAACGTGCCTGCTGGTGACCCGTGAACCAGGGATGAAACCAGCCAAGTGACAAGCCTGGCAAAGAATTTTGGCCAGATTTTTTGTACATGAGACCTGCTTGCGGAAAACACATCACGCATGCGCACACTGTCACTGGTGAGCATGTTCTGTTTCCAGCGGAAGGTTTTGGCTTTCGTGTTGGTCTCCCGGGATCTAAAGCTTCAGAGTGTAGGCAAGTGGCAGAATTTTCCACAGACATGGCATTTTGATTGTTTGCAGTGGCCAAGGATCACCCACAATCCGGAGTGTAACTGTACCCCGTCTAGGAGGCGAAAGCCTTATCGTGAGTATCCGTGTGCAGATCGTCCTGACCCCTTAGCGTCTACTGCATTGCTTGGCACATGAGTCGTACTGGGGTAATAGCTGTTCGTGAAAAATAAGTGAATGAATGGAGCCCGCCACGTGCAAAGATCCACACTAGCATTCTCTTCACTTAGATGCTATTAAAAATAACAGCTTAAAATTTTTGAAAAGTATTTCATTTATTGCACCTGGATTGTTTTCTGTAATATAAGTAGATGTTAATGCCTTTTTTTTTTTTTTTTTAGGGATATGATAAAAGGGACTTCTGTTTTGGAATTTGGGCTACATGACGGAGGGAGGGAGGGAGGGAGGTTGGAGGGAGGAGAGAGAGAGGCAGAGGAATGAAATGCCAAAGCCTTGGAGAAGAGGATGCCCAGAAGAGGGCCTTGGGAAAGTGCAGGAACACTCGTGTGTAGCTGAGTGCTGAAACTGCTTTGTAGATTGTAAGCTCTTTTGCATTGATTGGAGTGTTTTAGGAAAAGGATTTATCCCACTAAGAGATTCTGATTCTAAGACTCATAAAATTTTTAAGTTCATACAAAGCCATTGTGACTCCTTTTTACTGCTTTAACCTCAAGCCTAGAAGAATGTATCATGCATAGGAATGTTCAAAACTTATTTGTTGAATGAATAAGAATAGAACAAAGATAATAATACTAAGGATACAAAGTGGTTATTGGTGGAAATTATTAAAAGAATACAGATATGCTTTCATTGGTATGGCAGTCTTATGCTGGATAAAACCAAAAATCAAGTAGTTTCAAACGGTGCTATACTGCTTTATCTTACTGACCTAAAAGTCTTCAAATTCTTGGAGGCTGGCAAGATGGCTCAGTGGAATAAGCACTTCCCTGCCAAGCGCAAGGGCCTGAGTTCAATCCCCAGTTCTGCCAAAAAATAAAAATAAATAAAAGTCTTCAAATTCTCAAATACACATACATTCACACACATGCACAAGCATTTGAAAAACTGTGAGTATATATTAAATGTAAATTAATATTAAATTTCAGGGTGATAAGGTTAGGAACCTATTTTGTGGTTTAAGATCAAATATTATAATTTTATAGTTGAAATCAGAAAAAACCCATAAAACGTAATGACTGAAGTCAGTCGGATGGCTCACTTGCTGCCAGATTAATGCTCAGCTCACCTGCTCTGCAAAGCTGTGCTTTCTGTCACTTACAAGGCTGTAGCGATAGAAACAGAAGAAGAAGTACTCTGTGGCCACACACACAATGTCACCTACAGGATAGTCATGCACCACTTTTTACTATGACCTTCATATGCCCTTCAGGAGAAAACGCGTGTTGTAGGACAAACAGGCACTTTCTGTGATGTCAGACCCTGCGTGGCCGAGCTGGCGCAAGGGGGCCGCTGAACGCGGAGCTCGGCGCCAACGCAGGGAAGCATATTTTTCTTTCAAAATATTTTAAGTACCAAAGTTTGCACAACATCTTGGCAAGGACAGCAAGTCTGAGGAGATGTTTGTGTTTCCAGCTAACACGACAGCAAAAGAATGTGACGGCAGCTAAACAGCATTTCAATCATGAGCTAGAAGAATGCAGGTAGCAGAGTGAATGTACGACCCACGGGCTAGAAGCTATGCTTAGAGGCTTACAGAATCCCAAGACAGCTTATCTTTTCTTCTTTCCTCCATACAGCGAACCACCCTGGCATTGGCTTCCAATGTGGACGCCCCTCAGAACTCTCAGGAAAAGTGTCCTGGAATAGCTTTTGCTATTGTGCAGGAATGGAACTAAATTTAGCATAGTCCATCTGTTTGATTAGAGAGAGAAAGAGGCATAGCTGGATTTTCTTGGCATACAGATCTTTTATAAATCTGAGGGTGGTTTTCCAGATTTCTCTGGAAATCATTTCAAAGTTCACCAATTCTGCCAACATTGAACACCATCCACATCTTTTCTGTCTCCTATTTTTTCTAACGTCTGACTCCTTTTTAATTTCTATAAAATAGAAAACTGACTAGTACATCCTAAGCACTTAGCAAATCTGACAAATGCTTTAGTGGATTGGGTGTGTAGACCGAGCTTTTAATACTAAGATACCAGCAGGTATCCTAACAAAAGAAAGGCGTTCTGCTTTGGTTTCACTATCATAATCTTAAACGTGTGCATGAGGGGGTGTCTATATCTTGTCTTCTCAGCTAAGCTATAAACTGGGAATCGCGAACTCAAATGCCTACATATTCCAGATAAATAATAGAAATGAGGGACAAGGGTGTTCATCATAAAATAAGTACTGGAGGTTACTGCCAGCTGGAGAGCACAGGGCCGACCCACATGTGGGACACACAGGACAGCGTGTCACATCTACACTCCCAGCACAAGGAGTATGATCTTCCTCGTGGGACACACAGGACAGCGTGTCACATCTACACTCCCAGCACAAGGAGGTGATCTTCCTCGTGAGGAAAGTTGTCTCTAAAACATCCCTATAATATTGAAAAATATGAAAAGAAATCAATAATAAAATAGTATTAATTTATTAAAGTATATATTAAGGTATAATATATATTATATATTAAAGTATGTTAGGAGAGTTCTATTTTAAGGTCATACATTAGGTTTTATGTCCCGAAAACTCTTGTAAATTTTACCAGCTGCAATTTTGTGTCATTAATAAAATTACCTTCGTTTTAAATAGAGGAAGCAAAGGTGTAGTACCTGGTCAACGTGTATCACGCTGCATTATTAAGCAATTGGATGATTAAATGCAATCAACATGGCAAGGAACAAACAGCAGAGCCCGGAGCTGTCCTAACCTGTGTAGAAGCACACACAAGCGACAGCCGTTCCTGGCTCCTCAGGTCGGCAGCGAAGGCGCTCCCTAACTCCGTGGGTGCCTCGCAGTCTCCCGCTAAACTGCAACCTCGACATCGCTGATGGAGTTAGCGTAGTTCAGCAAGCGCTTTGAGCAGTCTGTGAGGCCTGGCTCCTTCGCAAGGAGAGAAACAAAACTAGACCTTATTCCTGTATGTTGAAACAGCACTGGCAACCATGAGTAGCTGTCATTTATTACTTACTGTTTCCTTTATTTCCTCCAGGGATCTCGTACGCTCATTATTCTTAGTGTTCCCATTTCATTGATAAGAAAATTGAAGCTCTTAGAGGTGAACTAAGTCCTACCGCATCACACAATTAGCCGGAAAGGAAACATAAGGCCGAGTGGGCCAGGATTTATGTCCACTCTGTGGCCCTGCATGAAATGTCTGAGGAGTCTTGAACTGTTTCTTTCCCTTTGCCTCTACGTATCTTTTTTTATTTTTTAAAGGGAATAAAAAATAGTGAAAAAACTTTACTCACTGGAAGAAAATTGCCTCTTGAACAAATGGTGCTAGAAAACCTGGCTCTCTACATGCCGAAAACTCAAACTTGACCCAGGTCTATCACCATGCACTAAACTAAAGTCAAAATGGATTAAAGATCAAAACATTAAAGCAGAGACACTAAATCTCCTGGAAGAGAAAGTAGGAGGAACTCTTGAAGACATAGGTGTAGGCAAAGAGTTCATGAACATAAATCAGATCACACGGGAAACACTTGAAGGAATTAACAACTGGGACCTGCTCTTACTGAGAAGTTTTTTCACGTCAAAAGAAATTACCAACAAAGTGACAAGGCAACCCAGAAATTTGGAAAAAATCATGACAAATAAGTACTCAGACAAAGGTCTGCTCTCTAGAATTTATAAAGAACTAAAAAACACTAGGACCTCAAAATTTAAAGACCCAATCCAGAAAGTTTAGAAATGATACAGAATTTCACTAAACAAAATGATAGAAATTGAGCAATGGTTGTTATATTGCAAGTTGTTGTCTTCAAATTAGTTGTTCAGATTACCAGATATGAGCATGCAAAATTGGTCAAAAAACTTAAAAAGAGAAAAAAATTAAGCATTAGCTGTTCTTTTCCATTGGCCAGTGGAGAGGGGCAGTAATCACATAAGCTGGCCTGTGTATGCACATATATACATTTCTCCCTCCCTCGCTTCTTTCTTTGCTCTTTTTCCTCATCCCAGATGTCCCTTGGCTTTGAGCAGTTTCGTTCCCTTTTACAAGATCCATTGTGCCTTTCGGATCCTGTTTCCTCTTTCAGCTTCTCACACGAGGGCGACACTATGGTGCTTACATATGTGGGTCTGATTTACTTCACTTACCAAGTATGGTCTCTAGTTGGTCCATTTACCTATAAAAGCTTCAAATCTATCTTTCTTTATAGCTGAGTAATACCCCACCGTATAAAAGTACCACATTTTTTGTCCATTCCTCAGTTGATAGACATTTGGATCGTTTCTAAGAGTAAGCTATGACAAATTGTGGTGCTATAAATATGGGTGCCCATATGTCAATGTTTTCAGTCCTTGTGGAAAAATACCCAGGAGGACAGTCGCCTGCCTGAACGGGCCGCCCAACCCTCGCTTTCTGAGGCGCCTCCACACTGACTTCCACGGTGGTTGGAGCAGTCTGCACTCCCACCGGTAGGGGAGAAGCGGGCTGGGGACGTGGCTCCTCAGAATAAGCACCTGTCTGGCAACTGAAATGTCCTGAGTTCGATTCCTGGTACCAAAAAAAAAAAGTGGAGAAAGGTGGTCAACCACTTTTTTTAAACATAAAGTCCTCTTTTCAAAATCTAGCATAAAATGACAAAATTCGTAGAATAGATTATTTCTATTCTGAAATAGAGAGTGCAGGACCACCCACCGCCCCCAGCATGTCCTCTCCGCTCCACCCCTCCCAGCAGCGCTGCACCGGGCTGCTTCCTCCTACCTGTCACCGGCTCTGCGCGCCTCTCCCCTTAGTCTGTGAGGATCGAATATTCGACCTTGCACGCGTTTCCTCCTCCCTTGCTCTCAAGCCTCTCGCTCGCAGATCTGCGTCTGCCGCCGGTGCCCACGTCCGCACGCCTCGAGGTGGGCGGACACGTGCAGGAGTCCCATCGGGCTCAGGACGAATGTACCCCCGAAGGACTGAGCTGGCGGAGGTCCGTACTAGTTATTAGAGGGCAGCTCCCGATACTTGCGCAGCGTGTGGCCAGAGAGGGCGGCGCGGCGGAGGCGACGCCCTGGCCCCCGCGTCCTCCTGCTCGGCCCCACCTGCGTGCTGCGGGGACAGCTCGGCGCAGACACGCCCAGCGCAGAGCAGCGCGGCGGCGAGCGCTGGGGACGCCGCGTGGGGCCACCCTGCTGCGGGAGGACAGTGCGCCTCGCGCACCGCGCCGGACCGCGCTCCTCAGGATTGTTCTGTGTCGCTTGGCTTTTAAGGCCGCCAGCCTCCAGGAATTGCTGGAGTAACGCCAAATTGCAGGCATGTCCACGCTTTGAATTGCGACGGTCTTCAAGGGTTCATCAGATAACTGAAGAAAGCGGGTAGCAGGAGGCGAGTTTCTAACGCGGGTGCCCTCGTCACGTCCACTCAGCAGACAGCAGGACCGTTGCTTTTTCTTTTTGTCTCTTGTAAACTCAGAGTGCACTTGGGAGATGAGAGTTCGATTTTACCATTTCGGGTTTCTCGAAGAGCGTTTCCGGGGCCAGTGAGCTTGAGAGCGCCCGAGCAGGCTGTCTAGCTTAGAGCCGCAGCCCCTCCCCAGCAAAGCAGGGCATCGGCATGACGCGGGGCTTCCCACGCAGTTGCTGTTAGGGCGTGAGGGTCTTTGGCTTTGTGCCTGTATGTACAGAGACACATAGGTGTACACACGTATACATATGAACACAGTATATGTACACACACCATACGTATTTTAAATATATATATATATATCATATATATGATACTCGAATCAAACTTAGGACTTTGCGCTTTCCAGCTTTATCTGTGGCTCTGCATTTATGTTATATAATCTAAAATCTGACTACAGGGACTAGTGAGATAGCTTAGCCAACTAAGTACCTGCTTAGGCACACACAGGAACAGGGGTGTGACCCCCAGCACCACCTGCTGTGCCGAGCCAGGCGCGCTAATCTGGCCACCAAGACCAGGCGTGGTAGCACACACCTGTAATTCCGGCGATCGGGAGGCTGAAAACGGGACGGTCACTATGGGTCCAAGCTGCGCAGTGAGATCCTGAACCAAATTAAAAATAAATAAAATTTGACTATAATTTCTTGTATACATGCATTTGAGCATTTCTCCCCTCGTAAGTGATGCATTCTCCGTGGCAGCGTTCCCTCGATTTCCTTTAACCCCACTAGTGTCCAGCCCGACCCTAGATGCACCACTAGGAACTGAGGAGAGTGGCCCACTGGGTTGGGCTTTCTGTCCTGCGGGGTCCTCAAGTGTCTAAACACTGGGTAGTGTTCTCAGATTAGAATGGCAATTGAGCAAAAAATGTGAGATTCTAAGCTATACTTCCTCATGGTCATTGGGTTGGGTGTTCTTTTACTGGATAATTCTGAGATTCTCAAGTTACTGAGTAGGGAAGGAGTTAATAAGCTCCTGAGAAGTGAGGTTCTTTCCAAGTCTGAGAGTGTTTGGATAACAAAAACTTAGAGGCTTTCCTGCCTTCCTCTCACAGAAAGCCAGACAACGCAAAGTCCCCTGTCTGAGGTGGCTATTTAGCTTTGAAGTGCGTGGACTGAAGCGTCAATGTCAGCGCTGGACTGGCGACCACCCACACTAGCTTCATGGGAAACGGAAGACGTGTTACTCTCGGTGTCTGAGCAATGGAGAGGTTGGCCACATGTTGGTATAACAGTTTCTTTGAGGCTCCACAGACACCTTCTGGAGCATGTTTGCTCTGCCATCAGAGTCCCGTGAGAGTTTCCCAGGGCCCTAATGTCATTGTCCTACCTGCTTGTGTGGCTGTGATATGTAATCACCTCTTCTACATGTCAAAAGCAATTTCTGATCTCCAGTCCACTAACCACGTTTGATCTTTAGCACAATGAAAATAAATGTTTGGAATGTAAGCTTATGGTCTCTGCGCTACCTTTTTTCCTTTTAACTCATGGTAGATTTTCCACTCTCTCTTTTAGGATCAACACTCTGTGGTCAGCCAGAGCACAGGCTCCAGTCCCAGCCCCAGTCCCTGCTCCAATCCAAACACAGTCAGTGCTTATGTGAGCTCCCAGCAGTCGCTGCTGAATCAGCCGCTGATAGGCAAGAAGCAGGGTCTCCAGAGGCAGCTCATGGAGCAGAAGCAGCAGCTCCTCCTGCAGCAGCACGTGCTGGTGGACACGGTAAGGCTTCCTTCTCCTTCTGACTCCGAGGCACACACTTCTTGGCCCAGCAAAGAGCGGTCCTTTTCTCCCCTTCCCCTTTTTTTCTGCCCACTACCCTGTCGGCAACAAGAGGGCCTGGCTGTAAAAGGAGTCGGCTCTGTACATGACAGTATGCAGACAGTGGTTTCAGGCACTGTCAGACGCTTGCAAGCACACAGCCTGGCTACCCGGACACTCCCAACCCAGGCATCTCCTCAGTGACCTGGGTGGGTACTCGCATCCAGCCAGAGAAGCCAATGTGCTCCCCAGCCTCAAGGGGCAAACATAGTGGACTTCACTTTAACCAACTCAAGTCCCAACTGATTTTAAAGAAATTCAAGTTCTGAGAGCCATTTCAAAAGTCGCCTTGGGACTGTGCATAAACCTAGTGGCCTAGCACCTGCCTGGCACGCTCAAGGTTCTAAGTTTGATTCAGCAAGTCAATTTGGTCTTTCAAAATTAAGATCTGGCTTCAGAAACTAGTGGGAGGCTAATGAGAGTGAGACTGCCCTTCTTTGGTTTTTATAAACCATTCACATTTCTCTTTGTTTGGACACCATAGAGCACCTTGTGCATTTTAGCGTATCCAGGAAGAAAGTCTTTGTGGCGACCACGTGAGCTTGGCTCTGTGGTCCTCCGACAGGCCTACACAGGCACCTATGCTGAGAGCTTTTCTTGTGCAGGTTGGCATCCTTACGCTGTTGTGTTTCCACCATGAAGCACAAAAAGAATAAGTAGTATTTGTCACAATGAACGCTGTCACTGCCAACACATATTGTGTACCTACCGTGTGCCATGCACCATGCTTAGCTCTTATGGAATTAAAGGATTAACTCTTATAATAGGAGCACGAGGGAGGCCCTGCGTTATTATGGATATCTTTACAAGCAAAGCAAAACAGACAAGTACTGTGGCAAGTGATTCTGCTACTAGGGTTTCCAGTTCAAGAGACGGGGCTATTGCTCAAAATTAGTTGGTCATCTACAGGGCTGTCAGGGTCAGAGGCTGTTGACTTGAGCCTCTCACAGCTCAGCATAGTAATATGGCTTCACTTTTCATACCTCACGTTTATACTTTTCTGCTGGATGGTTAAAACCAAGATAAAGCAAGACCTATATAACAAGAAATGTAACTTTTATTTCTGATAAGGTCAGTCAAATCCCCTCAAGATTTACCTTGAAACCCTATATGGCAGTTTGTAGATCCTTTGTCAGTGTCAGCCATGTGGATGAGTCACGGCCATTGCTTGACCAATTTGCTCTCTGTGAAAGCCTGAGAGAATGTTTTCTCTCCATGTGACTCTCCTTGGGCACACTCTACATCATCTATATTGGATTATTTTGCTGAATTCACACACCTACAATATTTAAATGGCAGTGGAATACCCATCTCTGACAAAACTAAACAAAAAAGGGATATAAATGAAGGACCATTTTGTATATGTATATACAAAATAGGATGGATATACAGCTACTTTCTCTTAATTCAATGAGAAGATTTGTACTAATAGTGTTTGGACAGGATATCATGTCTGAATTTTATATTATGAACAACTACTATGAAGACAACAATATGCAATGTATTCATTATTGAAACTGTCCAACTAACCTGTTTTAAAACTATCTCATTGCTATTTGTTTCTCAATAAAATTAATTAAAACATTAGTTGGTCAACAAAAGCCATGTGGTACAGAAATCCATTGAGGGTGAGCCTGTGGCTTCACACTTGCATTGAAAGGGAAAGGCATTCTCCAGCAAAATGTCACCATCTCCCATCAGTAACGGGGTTTAGGCTTCGCTACTCATCTCAGGGAAGTGGTAGAGTGACAGCTCTATGCCACCTCCATATGCAAGGCCATTAGACCTCCCTCTTTGTGGAAAAGTAGTTTAAGAAACTCAGGTCTTCATAGATGCAAATGCTAACTCTGAACAGCACCTGGAAGCCCTTGTAGCCCCAAAGCCAATCATTTGCTTGAAGCTACATAAAAATAAATGCTGGTTTGAATGGTGAGGAGTCAAACATACATGTGTACATCCTGTCCTCTTCAATTTAAGTAGTAGAAACATCTAACTATGTGAGATAGATACTTTTTGGAAAAGAAGGACTTTAGAGTCCCACATTTGGCTTAAGAGTCGAAACTGTCAGTTTACACAATAGTTTACAGCAGGGCAGCACCGCATTGCCGCGTTTAGGTTCATGGAACATCTCAAGCTGTCTCTTAAACATTTACAGTTTGCGCAAAACCAAAAAGAGAGTCTCACTAGCCACATTTTCCCTTTAATGTGTAAACCTATGTTTAAAAGAAATGCAATCCATATGTCTCTGATTCATTTATATTTAGCTCATCAAAATTGTGTTGCACTTGAATAACTCAATGTTCAAAAATCTCTGAGTGTTTCAAGATTTTTCTTAGAAATAAGCAAATTTAGTTTGTTGTTGAATTAAGAGTCTTTACCTCTCTTCAGAGTAGATTTATTGTACTTAAAAGATTTGAGATTTGATAACAAACCAAGAAACACATGGTTTAAGTAAGTTTTAAATCGGGCAGTGTACATTTGGCTTCTACCTTTTACCTACGAACTTGATGAAGCTATCTATTACCCAGCTTTCTTTTCTTTTCTTTTTTTTTTTTAAATATTTATTTATTTATTTAGTGTGTGTGTGGCCAGCTCAGCCCACCAGGGGGCGGGACTGGCTGGCATGTGGTGCTGGGGATTGAACCGCGTTCCCTGTGTTTTGCTTAGTTTAGCTTGTTCTAAGTAGGTGCTTTAGACCACTGAGCCATCTCACCAGCCCCCAGCTTTATTTTCTATTTATTAATTTTTATATAATTGTATTCTGTCTCTACCTATGCCAATCATTTTTAGTTTTGAAAATAAAAATTGCCTTGGAGTATGTGTAAAATTACTCGGAAGCAATTCCAGAAACTTCCTGATCCACCTTGAGAAAAAATAAAGCCACCCTTGATGTGCACAAGTGATCTGACCTGTCTAAACAAGTCATTTGTTCTCTGGTGAACATAAACAAGCTTACAAAATAGCAACCTCAAGCAGATGTAAACGAGGTCACTATGTGACCTACAGAAGCCCAACACCCCGCAGTCCCAAGGACAACTACTTTGCTACTCGATCTCACAGTCACCTGCTCTTCTGGCAGTTCTCAGTCTAGGAGAAGTCCCGGCTCCCCCAGGCCATCCCTGCTCACACAGAGTCCAGGCCCACAGTAGGTTCTTCCCGTCTAAGGCTTTGCCTGAGACCCAAGGCCCTCTAGGATGTGCATTTTCCCTGTGGCCATGGGTGACACACCGCGTGGGTGGGCTCCTGGTGGTCTTTGGAAGATGGCATTGAAGTATGAAAAGAATGTCGCTACTTACTGTCTTAGCTTCCAGACTTACTCACTGTAAAGCATTAAAGGTGGCTGATTCCGGAAGAAAGGAAAGAGCCCTGGACATTTCTATGCTTTTTAAATGGATCACTGAGAAACTGAGTCGCAAGGCACCCTGGTTGCGTGTGACAGGAGAGAACCCGAGTTTATGACTCCGAATTTGCTCTCAATTTGCTTAGCCGAGTGAAGTTTCCATTTTCTCTTCTTTTAAATGAGCATAATCATACCTACCATGGAGGGTTAAGAATGAAGGGTAAAAAGAGATATCCACATAGCACCCCACTCCCTAATTGGTTATCTCCTGACATTGTTTCCTACCCAAGGTTACAAATTTAAACAAACAACAATAAAAACTATACAAGCAGCCTGCACTGTGGCCCTGCTCCTAGGCTTCCACACTCTACAGCACCAGAATTATATAGAGACACCAACATGTATCAGCCGTGCCACAGCACACAGCTAGAAATACCTCCTCAAAACTGACAGAAATTAGCTCTCATTGAAATCTAATTGCAGGGACTGGAGAGAACGCTTGCCTGGCAAGCACAAGCACCTGTGTTCAATCCCCAGTTCCGCAAAAAGAAAAAGAAAAGAAAAAAGAAAGAATGAAAGAGAGAAAAGAAAAAGAAATCTAATTGCAAAATAAAGGCAAAGAAAGCAGTTACAAGAACCAAAATATTTTAGGTTAAGTGTTATGGAAAGAAATGGCACTTCCAGAAAGAAAGAAAGAAAGAAAGAAAGAAAGAAAGAAAGAAAGAAAGAAAGAAAGAAAGAAAGAAAGAAAGGAAGGAAGGAAGGAAGGAAGGGCACTTCCATGCAGGAATTTCATTGAAACTGAAAAGATTTGTCTCTGAATTAGCTCAACTAAATGCGTTCATGATTTGTGATGCAAGACTCAACAGTGGTTCTTAGATTCCATTCAAATAGTACCTGAGTTTTTATGGGCCAAAAGATAATATCACAATTTAATATGTTTTCATTTGTGTTTTTAAGGAGAAAATCACGCCACAAGATCAGATAAACTCACATTTGACAAGGCCACCCCCAGATTACAAAGACCAAAGAAGAAATGTGGGAAATCTACAGCCAAACATCCCATACTCTGGTAAGTGCTCTTAAGAATCAGTGAAAGGCATAACTGTGAAAAGAAGCCAACTATTCGGTTTCCCATCTTTTTTCCGTCACCCATCCCATCGTTGACCATGCTGTCTTTCTTGGAGTCTTTTTCCAGCTCCCACTTATCTGTGGGACTAAGGCCACGCTCGACCCTTGTGCGAGTCCCTGCTTGCTCTTGCCCTGCATTCTTACGTCCACTGCTCTGTGAGCTCCTCATTATCTGGAGAGCCGAAGATTCTCTGCATGCTGGGTTCCTCCAGTCCCCCAATAACTCATCTGGTCCCAGGTAGTGTGAGGCATGGAAAGATTTCTTGCTCTTTAACAATCACAAATATACGGTGCACAAAGCCAGTCCTGCTTCTCCAGGGGACCCTATTCCTCCCCCACACTTCCCCTGCCTCCCAGGGACAGTGGAAAAGTGGAGTGTGTCCCCTGAAGCCTCCCCAGGCACTGCACTGCATTCCACTTCAGTCCCAGAATGAAATCTTTTCATCGCCTCTCCATACAAGGCTTACCCAGAATCACCCACCCGCCGCCCCTGGACTTCAGAACGGCCCCAGAACAGGCTGATACCGCGTCTGCCTTCTTGTCGGCATCTGTTCAAGTCTCCTCAGAACTCTGTGCACTTCTTTACTTAGCTTATACTATTCTCTTACGTTTCCTACCTTCTCTCTGCTTTACGTGTTCCTCTATCCTTACAGGAAGTCACACAGAACATCTTCTAAAGAAGGAGAAACTGTTGACACTCCTCATTCACTCATATTCTTGGCCCATTAAATACATTTTAAATATGCTGCTCTGCTTCATTTACACATCTTTAAATGAACCGGATTGTCTCTCCACTACATTAGGAATGTGACACATATGTATTCCGCTAAGATGACTTTGCTCTGGAGCAAAAGCAGGGCTATTTGCTTGTCCACAGAGACTGAAAGACAAGACACAGATTACTTGGAATGTGGCCTGTGATTGGGCCCTGGAGAGGCAGGGATCCCCTGGAAGTACACAAAGTTCCCGTCCATGTCTAGGATTTCCCCTCCCTTTCCTGGAGCTACCGTGGGGATGTCGTCTCAGGCTAGTCTGAAGCCCACACTGTCAAGAGCCCATGCCACTCTGCCTTCTTCAGCGTGTGACTGGCTGCATCCTAAGGCGGCTCGCAGCCAACATCACCAGCCCTGTGCTCATATTTCAGGCAGGAAGAAGAAAACAGGAAACAGTAAACTATCCCACGGGTGAGTCGTGCTCCTGCCAGAGAGCCGCTTTCCTGGGGTCCTGCTACTGGTCTCTGCCTTTGGCCGGAATGCACCCTCGAGACCTCCGTCAGCAAGTCTGAGGAACATGGTACCAGCAGAATACACTGCACGGAGTCAGGGCTCTGTCTCTAAGAGACGGGGTGGGGAAGTCGACAGGCACCTAGCAGTTTCATCTGGGATGCACGCAGGCACTTTTCTAAGTGTGCGTGCGGCTTCCTTAGCAACAAACATCCTGCACCCCAAAGAAGTAGGAATCACTGTTCTAGAGCACTTTGCTTCACATGTTCTTGAAGAGTAAAATAAGAAGTACAAGCCTGGGGCCGGGGAGGTGGCTCAGTGGAATAAGTGCTTCCCTGGCAAGTGCAAGGGCCTGAGTTCAATCCCCGGTTCTGCCAAAAAAAAAAAAGAAGCACAAGCCAATACAAACTTGTGTCATTTTGTAATTGAATTGTCTTTCCCAGATGTCAGTGCTGTAAGTGAAGCACAGAGGGAACTCGGGCAGGTTTCTGTCATGGAGAAAAGATTTAGGAAGGCCGCAGCTAGGGCTTTGCTCTGGTCTTTGTGGAAAGGCTTTCTATTGTGCTGTTTACAGACACTGACATTCTCATAATCTCACAAACTCATGTATTTTTTATTGTTGATGGTGGTGGTGGTGATGTTGTTGTAAGCAGGGTGCTTACAGGGGATGATTGCTGAAAGCTCTGAATGTTTTCCTTAGCATTTGGGTAGCATGTACACCCTTATTACAAAACTGTCAGCTGTAAAGACAGCGTGGCTTCAACGCTTCAGCACGTGCCCTCAGTTCCGAGTCAGGCTTCTTCTCTCTGGCTGTGACCCATCTCCATCAGACACGCCCTGCACACTGTAGGACATAGGGCCTTGTGTCAAGGTCGGGGACACAAAGAGATGTGAGAGACTGCTCCTGTTGGGACTTAACTGGGAAAACAAGACATAGCGTTGCTGGAATGTTCACTTGGCCGACAGTCTTTAAGCTGTGTGTCGTGCAGACGTAGAGGAAAGCATGTACTTCTCAGCTGCGGATGTCAGATACACTGTGTGCCACAACCCGAAGGAATTCGAATGAACAGCGGAGGTTAAGAGTAGGACTTATTTAGAGAGAGGGAGGCGAGGCAGGAGGGAAGGTGGGAAGGAGGGA